GGTGGGTCTCGAACCCACGGGCTCAGGCAATCCACTCATCTCAGCCTCCCAAAGGCATGGAATTACAGGCTGAGCCACCGAGCCTGTCCAATTTACTATTAAATAAACTGTATTTTCTAGTCTAAAACAACAACAACAACAAAATATATAAATATATGTGTTCACGCAAAACTTTGTATGCAAATGTTTATGGCGTTGTTACTCATATAATAGCCAGAAACAGGAAACCGTCCACCAACTGATGACTGAACAAACGTGGTATGGTCATACACAGTGGAATACTGCGCAACACTAAAAAGAAGCAAACTGATAGCAGACGTTACAACATGAATGAACCTCAAGAACACCATACTAAGTAAAAGAACCAGACACAGAAGACCTCATACTGCATGATTCTATGTGAAACCCTATGAAAGGTAAACATACACGAGAAAGCAGATCGGAGGTTGCTGGAGAGGGCAGCAGAACTGGCAGTATGGGACAGCGAATGCCCAGGAATGGTGGAAATGTTCTGAATGGTTTTCTGGGGAGATTGCACAACTCTAGGATTTGCTAAACATCACTGAACTGTATGCGTACACGGGGTAAATTTCATATGTACAAAGTAGAGCTCAGCAAAGCTGGCCTTTCTCTTAAGGCTAAAGCAATAGACAACAATCATGAGTTCAGACTGATGCCTCCAGTCCTACTACAGCTCCCAGGGATTGGTCTAGTCTTCTCCCTTCCCATATTTGTAACTCCCTCCTCCGGTGGTTTAAAATTGGGCTCCCGTCCATTTTCCACAAGGTATTTAATTGCTCAGTCCTAGAATATACCCAGGCACCTGCACATCTGTAATTCTATCTCCTCAGAAACCAAGGCGGAAGGAACACTTGAGCCCAGGGCTTTGAGGCTACAAACAATGAGCTGTGATCACACCACTGCACTTCCACCTGGGGGACAGAGCAAGACCCTTTCTCTTTTTTTTTTTTTGAGTTGGAGTCTCACACTGTCACCCAGACTGGAGTGCAGTGGCCGCTACCGGCCATCGCAGTCTCGAACTGCTGGGCTCTGGCGATCCTTCTGCCTCAGCCTTCCAGGTAGCTGGAACTACAGGCACATGCTACCACGCCCGGCTAATTTTTGATTTATTGTAGAGATGAGGTCTCGCCAAGTTGTCCAGGCGGGTCTCGAACCTGCGGGCTCAGGCAGTCTACTCACCTCAGCCTTCTAAAGCGCGGGATTACAGACTGACCACCGAGCCCGGCTCCTTTCTCTTAATTAAAAAAAAACTCTAGAATACACATTAAGGATTTCAGTATTGCTAATAGTACCACTGTGAAAAATACACACGTAGCCGGGCTCAGTGCCTCAGCCTGTAATCCCGCACTTTTGAGAGACTGAGGTGAGTGGACTGCCTGAGCCCGCAGGTTTGAGACCTGCCCGAGCAACTTGGAGAGACCTCATCTCTACAATAAATCAAAAAATCAGCCGGGCGTGGTAGCGCGCGCATGTAATTCCGGCTACTCGGAAGGCTGAGGCGGAAGGATCGCCGGAGCCCAGCGGGTCGAGGCTGCGGTGGCCGGGAGCGGCCACTGCACTCCAGTCTGGGTGACAGAGTGAGACTCCAAGTCAGAAAAAAAAAAAAGACACCACCTCATCTCATCCCCTACGCAGTCATGTTATTCATTTGAATCCAGATATGTTTGTTTATTTTATTTATTTTGTTTGTTTTTGAGTTGGAGTCTCACTCTTGTTGCCCAGGCTAGAGTGCAGTAGTACACTCATGGCCACCGCAGCCTCGACCTGCTGGGCTCAGGCAGTCCTTCCACCTCAGCCTTCCAAGTAGGGGAACTACAGATACACACAAAATGAGCCAGACTTGGTGGCTATAATCCCAGCACTTTGGGAGGCAGAGGCGAGAGGATTGCCTGAGCCCAGGGATTTAGACCAGCCTGGGTGACTTGGGAGACCACAGCTCTACAATAAATCAAAAAATTGCCAGGCATGGTGGCACTCACCTGTGGTTCCAGCCGTGAGACTCCAACTCAAAAAAAAAAAAAAAAAAAAAAACAGCCTAATATCTATGAACATTATTTGTATAGGACAAACATAATTATTACTTGGTCAAGTCATGTAACCTCTCAGACCCTCTGCTTAATCTTATTTTATTTATTTATTTATTCATTCATTCATTCTTTGAGTTGGAGTCTCACTCTGTCTCCCAGACTAGAGTGCAGTGGCACGCTCCCGGCCACCGCAGCCTCGACCTGCTGGGCTCCAGCAATCCTTCCACCTCAGCCTTCCAGTAGCTGGAAATATAGGCGCGTGCTACCACGTCCAGCTATATTTTATTTATTTAATTTTTTTTTGAGTTGGAGTCTCACTCTGTTGCCCAGGCTGGAGGACAGTGGCACGTTCCCGGCCACTGCAGCCTTGACCTGCTGGGCTCAGGTGATCCTTCCGCCTCAGCCTTCCAAGTAGCTGGAACTGCCTGGCTAGTTTTTTTTTTAATTTATTGTAGAGATGAGGGCCCACCAAGTTGCCCAGGCTGGTCTTGAACCCGTGGACTCAGGCAGTCCTCTCACCTCGGCCTTCCAAAGTGCTGGGATTATCAGCGTGAGCCACCGTGCCCAGCCTAATCTTATTTGAATGAGGGGATTTAATTCATTAGTTGTGATTTTTTTTTTTTGAGTTGGAGTCTCACTCTGTCACCCAGACTGGAGTGCAGTGGCCACTCCCGACCACCGCAGCCTCAACCTGCTGGGCTGCGGCGATCCTTCTGCCTCAGCCTTCTGAGTAGCCGGAATTACAGACGCGCGCTACCACGGCCGGCTAATTTTTTGATTTTATTGTAGAGATGAGGTCTTGCCTGCCCAGGCGGGTCTCGAACCTGCGGGCTCAAGCAATCCACTCACCTCAGCCTCCCAAAGGCACGGGATTACAGGCTGAGCCACCAAGCCGGCTAGTTGTGATTTCTAACAACAGATCACCTGGGGATCATGGTAAAATGCAGATGCTGATTCAAAAGTTCTGGACTGCAGCCCTGTCTTAGTCGGCTGGGCTGCTATAACAAACTATCATAAACTGTATTGTTTATAAATAACAGAAATTCCTTTATCATAGTTCTGGAGACTGAAAGTCCGAGATCCAGGTTGCAGATGATTCAGTGTCTGCAGGGGGCCCGTTTCCTGGTTCACAGCATATTTTCACATGTCCTCATGCGGCATTAGGGCTGAGGGAGCCCTAAAGGCTCTCTGTGATAAGGGCACTAGTCCCCTCACAGCCTCATTATCTCCCAAAGTCCCCACCTTCAAATACCATCACTTTGGGCATCAGGATTCAACACAATATGCACTTTGGGGGACACAAACATTCAGTCGACAGCAGGCCAAATTCTCTGCATTTAGAATAAGCTCTCAGGTAATGCTGATGATGCTGGTCCCGGGACCACACTTTCGATAACAAGGAACCAGATAGTCACAGGAAGGAATTACAAGAGACGCAGTAGCAAGGAACACAGATTCCCTCCTGTGCAAAAGCGACTGATTGCAATATATC